TCACGACTGTGTTTCCTTCGAGATTATAATCGAAGTCTATTTGTGCGACTGGAGTGGGTGAATTGGTTGTTATTTTGGACCAGGGTGGAAATTGTCAACTCAATTGCTTTTTCAAATTTATATTTTTGTTTCGGGTTCTGTTTACCCAGCCAGCATCCGTGGCCAGTAGTCCGTTCCGAGCTGAACTGCGACTACCCGACTAATTCCTATAAACGGTTTCACTCATCCACGGCTTGACCCACAGAGCAGCCCAAAACAAACACATAAATCACCAGCAAGACAAAGCAGGGAAAACAAACCAAATAAACCAGATAGAAAAAAGCAGAACTCAAGCCGAAATTTAAAAGCAATCTGGGATACGAAATCCTCATCTATGGGTTCGCTTCGCCCGTTGTGTGTGTGGCCTTTGGCCAATTTTCTTATTAAAAACAACAGAGAGCCGAAAAATGTTTACCAAACACAATTCCGGCAAATCCGCAGTGTCCCACAGGCCACAGGACTCGTCGTCCCTCCCGACTTTCCGAAAACTGTAAATAGAGCGCGGCGGGCAGTGAAAGTGCGGACGGACGGACGGAAGGACGGACGGACGGATGGCAAGGACACAAAATCCTGCCACCACATGCTGAGAGCCCCTAACTCCCAGCCCAAATCCTTCCTAGCTCTCGAAACGAGCAAACGAGAACTAAGGCCATTAAACGAGCCCCGGAGTGGAACTCGGAAAATGGCAGCCTGGAAGCGCTCCTACCAGTTTTTGTCGCTTTTTTATGGCCAGCAGAGCTGAGAGCTGCAGTTGTTATACGTGGGATGGGAAAGACTAAGTTGACAAAAACAATAATTACAATTTCATTGAAAACCTGAGCTTAACCCAGTGTATAGGAAATCCAAATGAAATGGAATGCGTGGAATCTGCAGCAGCTTGAAAAAAAGATATTTTTCCCACGACTCTTCTGTTTATTTAGTCGCTCCATCTATGACTTTCACTTTGGGCTGGCTCCTCGATTTGGGACACATAAATATTTGGACAGGGATTGATTAGTGGCCGCTCTCCTGGCCAAGAGACCAAATCGAAATCTTTAATCGAAACTTTAATTCGCCGATTCGCCCTGCGCAAACAACAACTAACAGCACAAACATCAATCAAACTCCGAGCTGGATCTCCTCATTTTTTCCTCCTGCTCTACTCCTGCCTGTATTTTTGTCAACTTCTGCCGGGAAGTGTGGGAGGACATCGTCTTGAGCACTCGCATTTACTTGGCGTCTGGTCTGCACACACAACCCACATCCTCCGCTGCCACTTACCTCACGGCTCCCACATGATTTACTACAACATTTCCTGTGGCCGCTTTCCACGCCTCCAGTCCCCTGCTCCTTTTTCTGGTAGCTGCCATGTTTGACTTGATTTCGTCTAAATTGAGTTCAGTATCAACAGAAAATACTTCCGTTTCCTATGCTCTGCTCTTGGCTGTTGTGTACCTTTGCTGATTTTCCAGCAGCGCACACTGGGAGAAAGCTCATGGTCACAGTACTCACCATCACTGCACAACTATTCCATCTCCCTTGTGAAGTTGGTCTAGTTAGTTGTACTTTTGAGTAGCTAGAAAACAAATTTCACACTGGAAACCAACACGAATCAGTGCCATACTTCCCCTGGTTTTTTCCAGTGCAGCTGCAGCGCAGGCAAAAAATTAACTTACCACTAGAAACTTTCTCCCGTAGTTTTCGGTGTCGTTGTGTGTTTACCTTGGCAGCAACTCGTCTTCGTCTGCGTCCTGAATTTCGGGTCCTGCCTCCTGGGTCCTGGCTCCAGGGACTTGAGTCCTGGCACCTTGCTCATCGTCGAGGTGTTTGCCTTATTTTGAATGCTTTTTATGTTCAATTTGTTTCAATTTAATGTTGTTCTTGCCGAGGGATCAGGATCGGTGCCAGGACAGGATGCATTGTGCTTTACATGAATTCGGAATGTGTGTGCACCTCATATGATAAATGGCATTAAAGGATTTGCGTGAATAACTGAGTTAGGGCTTACATTTTTCTATCTGCCAAATAGTTGGCAAAGACTTCGCTTTGCAAACAAAATGTGCCATCGAATATGTTTCCGGAGTGAGTTGGAAGCTGTGTTTTCCCAGTGCGGATTACCAAAGGAATTTGAAAACTTCGCTCTAGAAAATACTTTGCGAAAAGTAGCAAGAGTAAAACTATTGCAAAGCAAATTGTATTAAGTACTTCTGCAATAGAGTGGAGCGGACTTTTGTTGATTCTTACTTTCCATAATCATTGACACTTTTGAGGCTGTTATCCACCACAAAATCTAAATGGCTTTTTCAATTCTGTCAGTACGTAGTCCTCTCTATCCAGCTGCCTTCCAATTAAAACCAATTCCAAATGTGTTTGGTAATATTTTTTATTTATATGTGCTTGTTGTCCAGTTCCGTGGAAATGCGGCGCCAATGAACTAAATGGGCCAACTCGTTTACTCGTAACAACAATTTCCGTGATGGCTGTTGGCTTTTCAAAATAAAAATATTGGAAACGCAATGAGAATTTTCTTCTCCGCGGACGCCGGTATTGGATTTTGACCAAAACTCCAATTTATGCGTCTACTTCCAATGAAACATTAAAATTCCATTAGCGGAAGCGAGGCACATAAATTTGAGCCCCTCCTCCAATAAAAACAGCGGGACGATGGAATTTCCCAATAGAGTGCCAGCTTATCGACAAATGAGCAGAAATTATGCATTTTGTTTAGCTTTAATTGCAGTTCAGTGTATTTATTTAGTTCTCAGTTCTCCAGGGGAAAGCGGAGCACAGAAGCGATAATCGAAAATAATTTATAGAAAATAAATATTTCCACACAATGGCCGCCCTAGACGATGAGAAACTTGAACTTCCATTTTCTCGCAGATCGTTTTTTATAATGGGTACTCAAGGAGTTGAATGGTTCAATAAACTCTTGAGGTGATACCTAACAATCTGGATTCTTATTGAAGTGGGAAAAACTACTAGTAAAATTTACAAGATATTATAATAATAGAATCTATTATTCGATTTCCTATTTTAAAGCATATGGGCTTTAAGGAATTATTTTCACGGACTAGTGAGTATCAAGCGGTCGAGGCCTTGCACATTTTTCATGAATATTTCTTCAGACTTCAGCTGTTTTCCCCAACAATTTCCCTAGCAATGCCCCATTGTTGATGTTTATTTAAGTTGTCATTAGAATGGTGCAAAGCAACGCCAGCACTGGCAATCCGTGGCAGTTTGGCCATATAAACTTTTTAAATTATCACCGATGCGAGTGCGGGTGGTAGGGTTATGCTGAGCAGTAGATGGAAAATCGGGGACCGAGGGCGCGGCTGCCACTTGAGTCAGACGTGGATGTAACAGGGAAATCGCATGGCCATGTGAAATGGAAATGGAAACGGTGGCACCACGAGCCTCCCACCCAAACGCGCGGGTATCCCCTTTTCAGCTTCCCGGGAAATGCTCGAAAAGTACATCGGCATTGATGAGGTGGGGCTGGGCCAGGAACAGTTCCTCCGAATGGAATCGATGGGAGTGGAGTGGTGGGACTTGTCTGGCGTTGGCGCCCCAACAGAAGCCGGAAATGCAAGTCAGTATTTTGCTTATTGTCTGGGAAGCTTGTTTACAGGGGGAAACTCGGTGGAGGAAGCCAAAATTTACAATGGACAGATTTAGCAAGCGATCAATTTAAGATTTTCAAGCTGGAGTCTCTACAAGGAGCTGTCTAGACGAATCTACGATACAGATCGGGTAATCAAATGATCTATTCCAATACCTATAAGCTGCTTCTTTAACAAGGCCAAAAGTCATCACTACCTACTTTGAAAGATATGTGTGCAAAAAGTGGATTAATATTTAGGGAATATATATATAGTTGGCTCGTTGGCCTCAAGTGCGATGTGAATGTCTTCACCTGTCGCCGCACTTGGCCACCATCGCCGTTTTGTCCCTTGAGTGCAGTCAACATGCCACATTATCAACTAATAAGCATAAAGTTTGTACTATAAGCACACTATGCGCTCAAGTCGACTGTTTGTGTTTCGGTGGGGGATCCTAGTCGTAATGCTCTGTTGTTCTATTCGGGGAATATATATTAGCAGCAACGACGACAAACCAAACAAGCCAAGCAACACGGCAGCAACAGGCAGCAAGTTTAAAGCCGCTTAAGGCTATAACCAGAAATGCGAGGCAAACGGAGCGGGTCAAGTCGCACAAACAGCGGATTACCAGGAGGCAGAGGCAACTGTGGTTGTTGATGTTGTCCTGTTTAGGTACAGCACAGTGCGGGGCAGCAGGTGCGACGGATAAAGGAAGTTGATGCTGGCAACACAATGGCCCAACGCCAAGGCGAAAGCAAAAGGCGATTCTGTCAAAATATTTACGATATGTCGTCGTCGTCGTCATCCTCGTTTCTCTGGCAATGGCTTTCAAAGTGTAAGGACGCCCGCCCACGAACACAAACACAATAGCCGAAGGACGCCGGACATGTGTAGCACATGCTATTTGCGGACTACGGACTACGCTCTTCCCAGCACCAGGATATACTCGTATATCTGCGAGCTCATCCCCACTGCCCAGGACACACATCGGGTACAAGGTGGCTTGGCAGGCAGAAGAAAAATTGATTCATCTGCCAGGGTCGCTGGGAAATTCTTTTCAGGTTCATCCCTTCTCCTCCTCACTTGAGCCCGAAAACATTGTCATGTAAAATTAAAATTTATGGCTAATTTGTGTGCGTGAACGTAACTTCGTTACCCGACCATTTGCTGCGGTGCCTTCGAGTAGGAAAGCCGTAAATTTCCCTCATTTGCCTGGCCGATTTTCACCGGAAAAGTGTGGGAGACAGCCTAAGTCCTCGAGGACTCAAGGCTCAAGGCTCGACGACGAAGGCGTGACTGGAGCTGGAAAGGAACCCTTCGGAGGACGGTGATAAAACCTTAACGACGAAACCATAAAATCGGATACAAACAAATTGGTAATTTCTGGAATTGTTTTGGCATATATATATGAGTGTATATATGTGTGTATATATTTGTATATCATGTTTTGATCTCTCATATAAACGGTAAATTGTCAAAAATGCTAAACATACAACATGTACTATATGCATCATAAATATGTATGTGTAATCTTAAAGACATAACTATCTCTATTTATAAATATCACTATATTTGATTTCGGCCTTTGTTTTAGCTAGTGTTGATGGATTGAAAGAGAACTGTGCAAGCTGAACTATTTCATCTATGTGGTAAGAGTCGAGTCTATCGTAGAATAAGCTTAAAGATATTTACTTAAAGAGCTGAATATGTAAACTATATGTACAGATGATGGGCCAGGGATGGGCTACACATTCGATTTGGCAAATCGTGCCATAACAAAGTAGAGTAAGCTACAGGACTTTATTCAACTAAGGCTTTCGGCTTAACTCCGAAACTCTTCAAAAGAGCCGATCCCCTGTCGGATGACATTGATGATCTCTGTCCTAGACATAGCGCGTGATTTGTGAATAGAATTCGGAGAGACAAGACTGCAGCTGGGCGAAGGTCGGCCGCTCGGCAGGTAACAGGGCCCAACAATAGGCCATGATCGTAAACCTTTAATGAGTAGATAAAAGAATGACCATTGAATTAGTAAAGCCATCGGGTAAGATCTCTATCGACGCGAATACTCACAGCTCATCGGGGCAGTTGAAGGGCTGGGCCAGGCGATAGCCGTCCTTGAGATAGTGTTCCATCTCGAAGGGATCCACCTCGGCATAGGGTTGTTTAGCGGAGGTACACAGTTCCCACATCAGGACTCCGAAGGCCCAAGAGTCGCTGGCCTCGGAGAACTGCTTGTGCTGCAGAGCCTCCAAGGACATCCATTTAACTGGCCTGTTTTCGCTGTCCCCCAGGCAGTTGTAGTCCGAGGGGAAGAGATCTCGAGACAGGGAGCTGTCAGAAAGCTTCACCCTCAGCTGATCGTCAATGCTAGAAGGGAATATATAAACGCATTTGTTAGACTTTCAACCATTTGATTCGTAATTTTAAATACTTTTTGAAGGGGTAAAACTAAGCAAGACTTCAACAAGTTTGTTCACTACTTACACGCAGTTCCTCGTGGCAATATCCTTATGCACCACTCCGTGGCTGTGCAGATGATCCAATGCCATGGACAGTTGCGAGGCCATCATCACAATTTGGATGGTGGTCACAGTGCGAGCACAAGCTGGGTCCAGCAGGAATTGCTTTAAGTTGCGGGTATTATTCAGAGCGGGATACAAAACAAACGGTGTGGTATGATCCTCAATGGAAACGCCGAGCACCGACAGAATTCCAGGATGAGAGGCGCCATAGAGCAGCATTCCCTCCTGGAGAAGTAGAAGCACCTGCATTTGGCTAGCATGCTGAGCCACCGTTTTGACCAGCACATCCTGATTGTCATTGTAGGTGCCGCGATAGACTCGGCCAAAGGTTCCCTCCTGCAGGAGACTGGACAGTCGTACCCTGCAACGCTCCACTGTCAACTCGGAAATGCGGCGATGCAGCTCCTCCGGATGTTGCTGCTCTACGGAAACTGGAACTTTGCGGGGCAAGGAGGAGCCATGAATCGGGGCTATAATCGAGGGCGTCATATAGGCAGCCGATCCCATGGAAGACTGGCACGGCGGGTGGGTATTTAGTCTCTGGAAGCTCGACGTCCTCATGGGCTGTCCTCCGTGCTGATGATGTTGCCTCTTGTTGGCTGCTCCCTTGACACAATACGCAATCATTAGGAGCAGGCACACAGATCCCATGGCCACAGAAACACCAACCACCAGGGTGATCAAACCAGTGGGTGGTAACATAACGGTCTCCAGCAACTGGGGATCGTCCACGTCCTCCGACAAATCCTCGGCACTGTCATTCACAAGACAGATCTTCTTTCTCCGGAACACCAGGTGCGTTACATTATTCAGTGACCGGTTAAGCACCACTTCCAGACTGACAGTCACGTCCACCTCCGCCGCTTTCAACCCGCTGCACTTTAGGGCAATGGACCAGGTTTGTATGCTGGTGGGGATTTCCCCACTGTGTGACACATTGATCGCCGGTCGAGGAAGCACTTCCTGATCGGAGCTGACCACATTGATGCTGTACGGAAGGCCACGCCCCGCCAGCGATTGCCAGGTGAAGCTTATGTCCTTGACATTCGCAGGGACTGGTACAATGAAGTTCAGAGCATAGTTATTTATATGGCCTTCGCGAACGTAGTACACCTCAGCAGACACGCCTGAAAGTAAGGGAAAATTCTCAGTTAGTAAAGGAAGATTTGAAGGGAACAGAAATGTGATACACTGAACCCAGGGTGTGGTTAAAGTAACAGAGATATAATCATATCATAAATATCAAATCCCAAACAAGCTCTTGTATTTATTTTTCTATAAACTGAACACGTGCACTTTCAATTTCCTCCTTGAGAACACCAGCACTACCCATGGTCGTTGATAAAACAAACTCATCCAGTACTTTGCATGTAAATCTATCTGAATGCACTCAGTGCAATGAGTTTTTCCAGAGGCTTGTTTGCTCAACCCGATCCACAGACAGTCGCCGGCAACATTTAATATAAATAAACACGGACGAGCGCTCGAGTTCAGGGAATTCCTTGGAAACTATTTTCGAGTTTATCGTCGCTTGTATCTGTATCTTCTGGAAATCTATGTAGAACAACAGCACGAACTGGATTTGGGATTTAGGGAGAAACGGCAATGGAACAGCGACGATCTGAGGTTGGCAAAACAAGAACAAGCTAAGACAAACAAAACGACCCATGTGTGGGCATTTGTTCCCTTTACTTCGATTACCTGCCTGTCTGATTGCGGTTTGACCAGGCCGATTCTCCGAGTTAATGAAGCATCTCCAGTAGTGTTTTTATTTGTTTTAGTCTTATTCCTTTTCCCGAGATGTCTGGCCGCGATTGCCAACTCATTTGGATTGTTATGACGTCTTATGCTAATGATAATGAGGCCGGCAGGTAGTTTCCAACTGATTCCATGGATCGTCCTAAAAAATTTCTGGGACTTCACGGACCGAATTTAAAGTAAGCCACACTGATTGACAACGGCACCCGGCCGTTGCCCAATTTCGACTGCCACTTGGGTGCATTCAGTGCATTCAACTTTTCCCCAAATAAAACTGGCAAGCTGCGGCCCAGGAAATAATTTACTTAAATCGCTGGAACACCCGAGAGGAGGAGCGCCACGCGCACTTCCTTTGACAACTGGCAATAACAATAAAAATCAGCGAGCTTGTAGGTAGACTGGGTTTCAGTCCAGACATCGCCCTAGACGTAGAAGTATAGTATGCGGTATATGTGCTCCAAGGCGGTGGCCATGGCGGACCCGGCAAATGACTCCACTGGGTGGCGTATAAATTGTGTCAGACATGCGGGTATACACATGCACTTCTAGAAAAACTACAATATTGATATAAATAATAGAGGGTTCGTGAAAATGTCTTGCATAATATGAATTTGTTTCCAACAAAGGCTTCAAAATGTTCACATCTGGGAATGACTTCCACTTTTAGCTGTGATTTTTTCGCTGTGCATGGTTCGCTTGGGCCCTGCAGACTTGACTCCCCAATGGGCCCTGCCAGCAACTTCCTTTGCTATGTGCAACATGTTGCACGTTGCTGTTGCCGAGTTGCTGCGGCTACGACAAATTCCTCGGCAGCATTTTAAAAATAGCGCCCATGACTTAATCAAATGCAACGCGTCCTGTCCCATCGCAATTTCCCCCAGGCAGCCAGTCAGCTTTTCAGCCTCAGACACGCTTCCATTGACCCTTTTCACTGGGGCCAGAAAGATGTGTCCCGGCCAAGAGTCGTCACTTGGTTCCAGGCCCATGCCCATGCCCATGCCCAGGCCGAGAGTTCACAGGTTCATGTGAAAGTTGCCGCTCCATTGCATTTTTATAAGGTGCTCGGAGTTGCGGATGGGGTTTTGGTATACGGGATATGGGATGGGATTGTCGAGGGCCGCGTCTTGAAGTGGATACGCTGTCGTCTACCTCATGTCACGAGCAAATGTCACTTGCATGTGCCTAGCGCGGGTGGCTCTTGAACTTTTTTAACCTTTTTGTGCTCGTATTATCCGCCATGTTCATAACTGGCTGCCTTTGGTGGCGCACAGAGAGAGAATTCGAGTGTAATCTGTTCTAGTCTAATTCCAATGCAATCGAAGGTGTTTCATACGCGAAACTTCAGGTCCATTCACACCAATGTTATTACTCCAACATGATTTCACATAATTAAAATTTGTTTGGCTACATCAATGGATGATTCTGATGCTGTTCACAAATTTCTCCCGGTGTGGGCGTGCCTGCAATGAGGAGCTGCACAAAGTCGCGATGGAAGTGGTGGCGGCGTCGAGGGTCTCCCATATCGTATGTCGAATTTTTCGGAGCGTGCAGTCATGATGCTGTCGTTGCGAGTATTTTTTGCAACTTTTTAATAGCTTGCTACTGCTCAGAGTCACAGTCGTGACCATTGTTGCACCGCTCCAAGGAGCGGAGTGGTATCCACATAGAACAGCCGAACCGCCGAACCGCCGAACCGGCGAACCGCCTGGCCGGAGACACTCGAATTCCAAAATAAAAAATTGAAAAAAGAAAAACGAAAAACGAAAATGTCTACGTTTCGGTTTCCATTTTCATGTAATTAGCGTTGCAATTCGTGAAGTGCTTTCCGCTGTGCCGATTTCCTATGCTGATTTTCCCCAAAGCGAAACAAAGGCCGGAAAAAATTAGAGTTTTCGCCGGGGTCACTCTTCGGGTTTGGCGGTTTGGCAGTGACCATCTCATAACTTGGGCTCCCTTTTTGGGCAGGCATATCTGAAGGGGAGTGTTCCACAGGTTAAAGGGTACTAGTGTTGCTTTGCAAATGTGCCACTTGGGGTTAACGATGCCGTCGCTTTAGAGATGTTTTCAAAAAAGGGTTTTGAAATTGTATGCAGTTTGAAGGCTTGAAATTGTATCCTATGTTTCTGTGAAGATTTCGTTTAACAAAAGCTGGCACCCTTAGTTTTAGCTTCTTCTTAAAGATAAATAGCTTGTTTTCGACGATAGAACCCTGATGTTAATAAATGGACCTAAGTGATGGGCAATTTATGGAAACTGGTGGCATCGCAACACCTTCGATTTACTGTCGTATTCCTTCATCAACTCCGAGGCTTCCCTTTAGCCATTTTCCCCATTTGACAAATATACCAGGCTCAGCCTGTGACTACAAGTAATTTTGCTTAAGCAAACAGTCTGGAACGTGCGGCAGATGGACAACCCTCGGCGAGTTCGCTGGGTATCTCTGGCGTCTTTTATCTTGTCCAATCCTAGCAGGCAAACAAAATTGCAATAGATGATAAATGATGGCGCTGCGACTCCATCTGCACCGTAACCGCATTGAACCTCCGGCTCTGCAACCCCAGCCAGCCAATATTCCAGGCTTCACCATCAGTTTCTGCTTGGGTTTCGGTTTCCCCATCTAATGGCTAATATGTCACTGGCTGCATTGGCTTCGAATCCGCTCCGGCTCTTTTGTGCAGTTTGTGGCCAAATCGAAAAATAAATAAAACAAATGATCGGCGCCTGCCGGGAACCGCCTTCAAAGCTTGCCCCCTGCCCCCCCTTCGGCTTATCACGCACAACAATCTCGCTTACAAGCCATGGGCACCACCCCAAAACGACCGCCCACCACATGTCAACATTTAACATGTTTTTGAGCCATGTCTCCAGCCCAACTGGCAACACCCCCTGGAAAACCCCTTGGAAACCCCCTTGGATACCCCAGTCGCATCCGTATCTTTGTGTGAATCGTTTCTTAGTTGCCTCACGTCGTTATGATAAATGATGCTGCTGCTTTTGTTTTGCCTAATATTCTTTTTTTCCTGCTCGGTTGGCCTTTTTTCCAGCCGCGGGCTCATCGTTCTCGTTTCTCGTTTTCGGCTTTTGATTGTAACAAATTTGTGCCAGCAAAATTAGCCAGCTCTTTAGGGCGAAATCTCTGCCAAGTCAACCGATTTGGCACAGTTAACGCGGAGATTTTGTTTTCCCTTTTCCGTGGGGCCCTCCGAAAATAAGTTCAAATTAATCATTCAAATTTCAAGAGTTGACGTTTTCCAACCATTTTGGCCGGCTGTCAAAAGCACCGAGGAAAAAACGACTTTGACCGGCCGGCTTATTGTAATATCCAGAATCAATAGTAATTAACCTTAATCGTTATTCATTTTTTGTCAGTTTTCTGTTGTCTTACGAGTGTTGAGTTGCGAGAGAAGAGGACAGCCTCCGAAAACTGTGACCAAATGATGCGGGTCAAGAGTGATGGTTAGTGAAGATAATTGAGCATCGAGTGGCTGCAGCTGGCGAGCTAAAGGCCTTTGATAAAGCGAAATATCCAATAGATACAAACGTATCCGGGGAGACAAAGTTAGCACTTCCTAGGCACCATCTTCCTTAAGAGGAATTTATGCACTAGAATATGAAGTACTTAGTACTTTATGCTCTAGCACCTGCACAAAATTCAATTCATACCTAACTGCATTTTTGAATACCCCTATTCACAGCTTCGTTAACAACTTGAAGACACATGAATGAGATAACATCGCTGCAGTCTCGTATCTTGCGAATGCAACACTATCTGCCAGTTAGCTACGCCATCTATACTAATATACAGCGAAGCGTATCACGAATTTTTCCCATTGTGGGAATGTCAGCAAAATCGTGTTAGCAGCACATTCATCTCACGGATTGCCGTTGTATGCCCAGTTAGCGATGCCTCTAGATGCTGCCACGGATCTACAAGCCAACTGCTTGTTTTTATAGAAATACCCCTCCCACGGCCACTCCGATGGGTATTATTCGCCATCCCTTCGATATGCGATATACTTTCCATGTTGCTTTCTGCAACGGAAAACTCCCACAGCGCATAACCCAAATAAACAACGAGCAACTCAATAAACACAGTGCAGCGGCAACAAAGCCCAGATGCACGCACTGCATCTGCATCTTTGCAGTTGCCCAAAGCTGCCACGCCCCATTTCGCAGCGCCCACATGTCACAGTGATGTGGAATTAAACACACAAAAAAGACTGTTTTAACTGGGTCTGGAAGTAAGGAACTTGAAAAACGCCACGAAGAGGGAAACCCACAGTACTGATTTCTTTAAATCTGAAAACCTATTTGTGAACGTATTATATTTTCAATCAGATTTGCCCCATAGTGCCAATAGTTTTCCGCACAGTTTTCTCTCTCTGCACAAACTGCAAGCGGGCTTCATTGATGGCGCCTGTTGTTGTTGCTTAAAGTAAATATGATTACTCCTTTTTTGCCATACTATGCGAGCACATTCAGCTGGCACATGCGTACATATGTATGTACACTATGTGTTGTAAGGGAGCCAGGCGGGCAAACAATGGCTGATATTTATTATTGACATACGCTACAGTGCCCCATCGTTGCTCTGCATCTGGCAGCCCCCGGCGGGGTTATCAGAGTTGTCAGCTGCCAGTGATAACCGCACAGAAGCAGGCAGGCGGAGGTATCAGTGCACCCAGTAAGCCTTTGACGAGAGTCGAGCCCCATTCCGGCGTATATTATTCGCAGGGAGGTGTTGCAGTGGAATTGCAGCCGCCTTTATTGCCTGCAATCGGTTTATGCGATTTTCATTTGTTTAAATGCCGTTTTTTGTCCAAACTTTGGCAGGTAATGGAAATGACTTTAAGCCCCGGCTTAGCCAAGTTTATGGCGGTTTACAGCCCCCAGACACATGAACGCATAAAATAAAATAAGTATGCAACTGGTCCAGACCTCTCAGTCTACAAACCAGGCCTAATCAAATCGCACTTCCCGATGTCGAACTCGTCGGCTAGTAATGCGACACTCTGCTATGAAAACATCGCAATGAAATCGAGGAGCAGAGATCTTGCTGGTAGGTTTTTGGGAAGACTTTATGACCCGCCAAGTGGCCATCAATTCGAAATCGATAGCCCTACGAGGCCGCACGATCTGTGATCGCATTAAAAATAGATTGAAAATAAAATGGAAATATTGATCCCAATGCCCAGACACCACGAACTTTTGGGACTGGCTCATAAGTCACGTACGAGCAGATAAGTATCTCCGATGATCGTGGACCAAAGAAAGCCAGTGCGGAAATGATCACAGAGCCACGTGATAAACTGCGGCCAGGCTAGATAATAGATTTAGTAAAGCCGGCGATGATCAGTTATCCACGCCAGCAGATTAAAATCAGGTGGGGATCTTATTACTGGCTTGTTAGAATCGGCTTTGTTGTGGAAAACATATTGTATGGAAGAAACACATTAACAGAGGAAGTAGATTGAACACCTTCGTTTATACATTTTAATTATGATGAGGTGATAGTGATCCAAAACTAGCACATATGTCATAAGAGTTGACAGATGAGAATCATGAACTAGCTTGGATGGCACAAAATACTTGAATGGTGCCCCTAAATAAAGTGTGTGGCTGCTCATCAAGATCTTTGCGGCTAACACAGTTTGTTGTCCGCTCTCCCGATCGCTAATTGAACAGATAAGATCTGCAGACTGTGTCAACTCCTTCGGATAGCACTTTTTACGATCTGTCAGGTGAGCTGTTAGCGCTAGCACATCGTATAGCAAAAAGTGGCGCGATCAGGTCCATAAACTCTCCCCACCCTCTCTGTTTTTCCGCTTTTTTTGTCTCGCCGAGGGGACAGCTTCATTAGCTAATGGCCACTTCATTATGTGTGACTTGACTAGCGAAACCAGCGAAAGGCGAAGCTGAACAATAAATTGCCAAACACCAATTAAAATATAGATCATGCCTGCTGATCATATCCAAGCGGCAAGTAGCCAACCGAGCCCAGAGCCAAGTATCAAGCCAAAACCGTTAGTAGGGGGGAATAATGTCTTGCAGGATCGGTGGCGTTTCTCGGAAGGCTTTTAGCACGACCAGATGAGACGGCCTGTTCGTTTACAATTATCGGCTGGCGAGATCTTGGAAAGGCAGCCAAGAACAAGCCATAAACCGGAGGAGAAGCGCACAAATGTCTCTACTAGGCTGCGGGGAAAACAAAAACAAGGTACAAAATATCACAAAAAGAATGAGAGAAGCAAACGAGATACATGCCTGGCTTGTTACGGCCATCCGACAGATACAACCAACAACTTTAGCTTCGGTTAGGTGCTAAAAGTTGCCACAGTAGCACGTCGTGTGTATCTTCGAGATACTTATGTATCTCTTGCCAGCTTGTTTGGGCTGTAAGCCGCTTAGCCGCGGCTCACTTCAAATAACAAAAGCCATCAATATATGTTTCCCGATAGCTGGGCAAATATGAAAATATTTAAATTGGCCTAAACAAAGGCCTCCGAGCTCTTAATTTATTTAGCACAGTTGGTGGTAGATTTAACACATCCAACCAATATTCTCTTGTCCCGAGTTACCTATCTCCGACTCCATGGCCGTTAATTTATGGCCCGAAGCAGCTACCAATCGGTCATTCGCTTGGGGGCGTGGATATTTTAGCACATTCCTTGGCTCGAAAATGTGTGAAAATCGTGCCGAAGCCGTTGGCAGTCTTTCTAATCTGCTCTTCTCCCATTTTCAGCTTTTAATTGCAGCTTCATTAGCAGGCAGGAGAACAGTAAAATTAAATCAAAGCACCCCAAACTGGTGGCCATAAAAGCTGGGAAAATTCCAAATCGTCAATAAAGTGCCATAAAACGTACTGAAAGAGGGAAAACTGGGAAAATTGTAGCCGGTCTGGCAATAAAATTACATTTAAATAATGCACTTTCGGCTGCTTAAAATGTAGCGCGTGTCACATCAGCGAAGAAGTCGTTAAACTTTTTTGGCTGCTTCTCCCGAATGTGATGGTTTATTTCTGAGGAATATGATCGGAATCGGAATCGAAATCGGAATAATGCTGGGCATGTACCACATGACTGATATTATACGATGATGACGATTCGATCGAGAGCCCCGCCCATTCTGCCATTCTGCCGGATCGTATTTCATTGACTGTCAGATGCCAGGGACTTTATGACTCAAACTCCTTTAGCGTTGAACTTGCCGGGACCCCTGCTGTCGGGATATTAAAAAAAAGGGGAAACCGAGCTGCGATCATCGGCTATAAATTTTGCGTAAATGGAAATGAAATTTATTTAAGCCGAGAACTTTGACTAAAGACCGCGCAGACACCCCCATGCCAGCTGAAAACCCTTTTAGCGCACACAAATCAAATGCAAATTATGCAGCTTAATTGATTTATGGTCCACGGAGTGGGGAGTACAAAGCAATTGCGCTTTTCTTTATGCACGAATATCCTACGCAAGTCTGCGAAACTTTTCGACTTTGTCTTAATTACCCCGATACATGTATGTATGTACTATGTATCTGCAATTTGCAGCTTTTCGCCGGCAACTGCAGCCCACAGTCTGTGGAATATTCTGCATACTTGATTTCACGCCCCCAAAATCGCAAATCCGAAATGCATACGCAAAATTATGCGCATCGTCATCGTCGTCAGCAAATCTGCCCCCACACACATGGTTGCAAGCAGATAAAGAAAACTTCGATTTAACAAGCCGCGTTGCACGTTAAAATCTGCTGCTGCTGCAACAGCAACAACTGCCAAGTGGGCGACTTGTCATGCAAAGTACTGCCAAAAACACAGTGAGCCCCCCGAGGAAGCACAGTGGAATGGCAACAAAACTTCGGTTTGCAAATTGGTCGACAAAATACAGCAAGTTGGCCCAGATATGGCTTAGTCAACCGGATATAAGATACTTTCTAAACGCGATCGCAAAAAAACAGTTTGTTGTGAAACTTTAATACCCAAGTAAAAGTAGATATTACATATACATTTTTCAAATGCATTTAATTGGAACTAGGATTATGCCATTTCAATTGATTCATTTATAATTGAAACGGAACAGTTCCAAAATATTAGAATAAATCATATGAAGTTCATGTTCATGCTCTCTGGAACTTTTGCTTTAGAAGTGTTCTTCGTGGAATACGAGAAATGCACCCCACTGTGCATTCTTCCGCCCCGCACAGCTGATGCCCCGCCCACCGCCACCCTTCTCTTTCTCTCTGCTCCTCGTAGTCACGTTTTCGTTGTTGTTGTTGCTCTTTTGTTGTCGCCTTTGCCTTCTCTCTCTCGGCAAGCTCTCCCGCTTTTTGTTTTTGGGGAGCCCAGGAATTTGAGTTCCAAGAAATATTCAAAAATATTCTCCGCCAAGGGAGATAAATTGAATGCAGCATGTAGATTTTCAGACTTTGTTGTTGTCTTTATATTTTGGCGTGTCTGCTGCTTCCTCTTCTTTTTTTGTTTTTATACCAAGCGTAAAATTTCCTAACGAAGCAAACGAAAGCTGGTTGTTGCTGCTGTTGTTGCGGGCGGTTTGTTTATTTGTTTTACTGTTTAACAACACCTGCGGCATGCGCAAGAGCGAGAGAGAGGAAGGCGACAGAGCGAGCATCTAAATTAAGCCAAAAGCAAACAAATAAACATAATTTTTAAAGGGAAGTGCGCTTTCTTCGATGAATAAGTGCATGAAAACCTAGTGCTGTCTTTTTAATTGGTTGACACAAATTACTCAACTGTTTATTTTAGAGGGAGAATAAAAAAAGAGAAATCAATAACAAAGGGCGCGTCACTCGGAAGGAAAACCAGAAGGAAAAGGGGTTGAAAGGGGGCAAAACTCACCTAATAACCGCATTACTTCCACGGGATTTAGGAAAACATTCAAATGTGCCGCTACTTCACTGCCCGCGCGCAGTTGCAGCGCTGCCAGCGCCAGCAGCGAAAGCGCCCATATTTTCCGGCTCATTTTCACTGTACAATTACTTGTGGTTGCGCTTTTACCGCATTTATTCGCAGATTCCATCGGATATTGTTCCTTTTTCCAGTTTTTGCACTCTTATCACACACGGCTATTCGTAAACAATTTCGAACGAACGACCAGCACAAAAGCGAATCGACGAGTGCGAGTGCGACGGCGTCGTTTTAGCACCAAAATTTCATCAAAAACATTGTTTAACCGGGCAAATCTCGTTATTTTGGTCTCATAAATAACACAATGAGTATTTTTTCACGCACATTTCATTTTAAACGTCGTTTCCACGGGTTTTCTTCAGGTTTTTACTGCTTTTAGCTGTCTGGCAGCTGCTTCTTGAAATTTTTTCAACTTTTCCCGGCCGAGTTCGAAACCAAACTGTCCGACAAATCTCGACGAACACGTTCGCATCGAACATGGATGTCTAAACGAGAAATCTCTTCCAACCGAGTTTCTGAGTCTGAAGCCGCACAAAACCGGTGTAAACTGCGCGACTACTTCATTTATATTTATTTATGCAGTGGTTAAATACGTCGTGCTTTTCTATTAACAAATTCGCTAAAACTGCGGCGCACAGTGGCATTGCTCAGAACAAATAATGGAAATCTTTATTTTTCTGCCGTGAGATATGGATATCTGGAAAGTGCCAGTCTGGGCACACTGTTTTCGTCTGAGTTTTCAACGTGCGCAAGTGCAATTGCAATTTAAAAAGTTTCAGTTACTCCATACACGTGTACGCACACACAGCCAGAAGTGCAAGCATTTGGCACAATACAGCAACAGGTTACAGTGGGCAAGACTGGTGCACATTCATTTAATGAATGGATTTTGAATATTATATTGTCCTTGCTTTTCACCTATGTAAGCTAAGTCACATATTAAGAAGTCAAATTTCACGTTTCTTCCTTTGTAAATATTATTGAAACAAACACAAAAAATATGAAATTCTGTTTTGGACGCGCCTCAAAAAAAAAAATTTATTTAATGTTTTTTGTTTTGCAAACATCCAATTTTTATAATGCGCGCCTTAGTGTGACCAAGTTGAATAATGTTATCGATAAGCGTTCTATCGCATAGAATTAAGTAGATTTCAAGAGAAAGAAGATGCGGGGCACTTTGCATTTGAAATAAGAACGATCGATTAAAGAGAGCACAACAAAAATCAAAATCAATAAATCCTACGTTTGAATGTTCAAATAAAAGAGTATTATAATTTATTATTTATTTTGTAATTCTAAAATCCACACCAGAAATCTAAATTAAAATTAAACCAGAGAAATCTACAAACGTTGCTTGCATATCCTCTAATATAATATAAGGGAGATGACCATAGTGAAGGTTTCGGCTTCCACCGACCCAGGTGCCCTGTGCCTCAAAGCAAATTCAGCTTCATCCTCAAAATCGTCAACATCTTGGACGTTGAGGAGGCTTAAAAGAAAATATTGCTTTTTTTGATGGAAGCGTCTTTCCAGGCACTCCTATATCATCACCATCTCCGCATTCAGCATCTGCATTGCGTCCCCTACGTAAGCATACGTAAACTACGTAAAGGATGCCCGCCAGGGGGACACGCAGCGTGCGACTGCGGATGCTCGTACTGCAATAATCGTTATAATCGTTCATAATCGTTATCGGCAATAATGGCCAATAGCATTGCGTTGTCATCTATCTTCAAAACGGTCATTAAGAATTTAAAGAAATACTTACATTTCGAAAATTACACGTTTTGGCGTCTATGAGATCGACTAAAAGGTAACAATGGAAATTTAGTTGGACATGTTGCACTTTTTTGGGAGATTTGAAAAACATGATTTATTATTTTAATCGACCACAGACGTGGTATTTTTATTGTTGTTCTTTATAAATTTCTTATAATTTGTCTTTTTTCTTTTTTTTTTTTGTCTTTTTTTAACATTTCCTACTAAATGTTGTCTAACAATTATAATAATAATATAGATATATAGGCTTAATGTAAATGTTCATGTTTGCGATCGCATTATTATTATTATGTTAATGTAAATCAGCTGTTCAAATCATGAAAACAAATCTTTAAGAGAAGAGCACCAATTTCGAAAATTGAACGAGAAAAAGAGAAAAAAACGGAAAAGAGAAAATTTGATATAGTATGTTTTTTTTTTTTAATAAAGTTGCGACTGGTTCGATTCGAACATGCGAGTGGAAAAGTTGCATTCGAATGGGTTGCATGTGGATCCCAAACTAAGTTGCAAAGAGGATTACCACCATCAGCATATACATACATACATATGGCTGGGAAATACCTATAGACAAGAAAAACTGATCCGCAAGATATGCGTTTGCAAACTTAACTAAAATAATGATCATAATACAAATATGAAGTATAAAATATAATAATATAAAAATAATAATTAATAATAAAAATATATAATAAGTATAAAATTACAGTAATATTTCATTTATAAGGATTACTAGCATATTTTATAAATACATGGTGTAGCGAAACCCAAAAAGCCCAAGTTGTATGCAATACTAATGCCCACCCAAACTATTATTTAAGTAAAATCCGACACTACAAAGTGTTAATTTCTAGATTAGGATCATCAGGAGATGATCCTATGTCTGTCCGTTAAACATCGACAACTTGAGAACTATTGGAGCTCGAAGGTTGAAACCTAGCATGCAGATCCTAAAGTTGCGCAATAGATTGTCAAATTTTTGAAAAAGTTTTGATTAATTATGAACGAAATAAAAGTTCACATAATTGTATGTATTCTATGTAAAAAATATGAATAATTATGATGTTAGGCCCAAACAAGTATATTTATAAGAGTGGCTATTAATGTAGAGCTTCTGTTTTGCGTGATCTTGAACCAGTTCATAAAATGGCCTTATCAGCAAAAAATATAAATCAAGCGCTTTATAGATAGCACCCCGCTCACAGTGATAACGCATGGCGATAACGCCAACTGATGCCAACTGCCGGCAGTTTTATTTGAGCACAATGCCGAATCGTCCGACGCGGAAGAAATATCGCCGGACTCGACTCCAGTGCTTCCTGGCATTATCCCTATGGTTCCTGATCCAGGCTCACCCCGCCGATGGAACGCGGTGCAGGAAACCCTATGAGAGGGTGCAGGAAAACTATTGCTACTTTGTTGCCAACGAGGAGCCTCTGGTGAGAGTTAGAGAAGCCCCTCTGAAGTAACGATTGCCTACTAGTATCAATACCTCAAATTGAACTGAGTTCTGTATGCAAACAAGGGTAATTCGATAATTGTAGCGCTGCTATCAGCCAACGGACATCAAACATATATGGGTGTAAAAATAAACTGAGGATGACGCTCTTTGTCGCGTTTTTTGTGGCCTAACCGACTGTACGATGCCCTGCCTCAGAGTCAACAAACAAATATTAATAAATAGTTGATATAAGTTAAGGTACATATGTAAGCTTCTCAGAATTCCCCACTTCGATGGGAAATGTTAGAAAACCCAGTTTCCTGATTTTTACATCAATTTGTAACTGGGTCGCTTGGACCATATGTAACGAAAGTTAATTTTTTCAATGCTCCTCTGAACCTTATTAAAAGTACGTAGTACTACAGAACTATAGGGCTAAAAGAATACCTCTTTTCCTTATATACAGCACACTTCGTTCCACAATTTCTGCTACCAGGACAAGCGCACCTCACGAGTTTGCCTGGATAGTGACGAGAAAATGCGGGTTCTAGCCGATCACCTGACCAACCTGGGCTACCGAAACGGAACCCAGTTCTGGAGTGCTGGGCATCGGTGGCCTGGTGACAACCGCTTCTACTGGAACTACTTTGGAAGAGCCCGACCACTCAACTACTCCAACTGGGCCTTGGACGAGCCGACGCCCCAAATGGGTCGCAATTGCCTGATTCTCACTCTCCGAGGCGGAGAACTCATCATGAGCAGTGAGTCCTGCTACACCCGAGCGGTGGATATATGTGAGCAGACGCTGAACGGAACGGACTCCCGGCCCGTGATCCACTGATCGCCAGATATTTATCCCTATTTCTACTAGTGTACCTAGCTAAACAAAATAGAAGTTTTCTATTTCTATTATCTTTTTTGAGTGCTTCTCGAGGAATAATATTATTTCTTTAATCACGGCTATCACGCTTTAGTCGAGTGCCTCGAATATCAGATACCCGTTACCCAAAATGTTAATATGATTGAGATTCGCAGTGTTGCGAAGCAAACTACTTAAAAATTGTGTACTCCCATATTCGAATAAGTGTAAGAATTACAATTGAATTACACAACACTTAGGATCTTCCGCTATTTTATTCATTACTCATGAAGTGAAGGGATCAACTGAAATCGTTGAAAATTATATAGCAGGTAGATGGAAGCGTTTCGGACTCGACGCACTCAAACGCCTACAAATGACAAAATCCAGACTAATTTTCTTGGCAGTAAATATTCTTCCAGTCAATATTCAGTCAATATCTAGCTTCATGAAACTTTCGTTTTTGTATAGCTGGTATATAAGTCGGAACGGAACGAATCGATTCGAATCGGATCACAAAGTCATAACGCATATGGTTTCTAATGTGGTTTACTTCATTATAACATATACTCAAATGAAAAGTGTTGAGAAACTGAAGACAAGAACTGAAGGAGGAATCATACCAGATTTCGGTGCAATCGATGTTGATAAAATTATACCAAACACACTGAAACTTGAGTTTTGTATAAAAAATAAAGGCAGCTTTTTGCCAGATAATTGGTGTCAATTTTTCTATTGGGAAATTTTATTATGCGGGCCTATACAAGTTGAAAATAGCTGGTTTCGGACTTCAGTTAATTAGTATTCGGTGTACGAGTTGTTAAAGTTGGACATATTATTTGTGGCCGTAACGATTTTTCTGCTCTTGACTGCCGGATATGTTTCCATTAAGAGGAATTGCCGGCAGCGAAAGCATATTAGTTTTTCAGAATATCGAATATCAATTTTGTGTACCTAACACTATAATTATTGCTCGCTGTTTGAATCCCTTTGTGCAGATTAGGAATATCTCTTCCACCAACAACCCGGTATTTACACAGTAAAATTTTAATTGAAACTAACTTTTGGCTTGGCTTCATATTCACTTTTTAAGAAAATAAGAGAGGATGTGACAGAACATTGTAATTAAGATACTTTGGCCTTTTACGATTAATCAAAAGCATGTGAAGCTAGAACTGTGCATCCTTCTCACGTTTTATCATGTACAAACTGATTAGTTTTACACCTGCTACACGAAGTGGCCGCGGGCACTCAACTTCTTTACTTAAACTTATTTCCGGTGAGCGGGGGAACTTATGGCGTTGTCAAACAAGCACTTAATTTAATAATTCAACATTTCGCCAGGGCCTGGTGCCCGCAGCCACTGGAGAGTTTGCAGTTTCTGGCATGTAATACAAATAAATTTCGACTAAACGCTTTTAAACAGTCACAGACAATGCGTCGTCGCCTCGTCTGGAGGCGGTGGGGTTGGTGGGTCAGGTGGGTCTGGTGGGTTTGGTGGGTTTGGTGGGGTTGGTGGGTCCCCAGACCGGAAGTGACGACGGCGCAACAGCAGTGGCAAAGTGGCAACGTTATGGCCGGAATGGCTGCGGCAATTAACTCAAATTGATAATGACAACGGAAAAGTTGTAGGCACCTGAGGTGTCGGGAATCGGTCGGAGTGTGGGCGGTGCCTTCATAAGGATCGTTGGTGACGTGATTTCGTTTTGAGTGCATCCAAAACGGCGACACATTTCGACACGTCCTTTGACAACGCCCTTCGGCGTAATTAAAACGAAATAATTTTCGACAAGTTTGGTTTGCTTCGACTCGGCTTTTTTGCCTGCCCCTAACTTGGCTCACTCATCGAATCGAGGCACGTATATTGAGTCTGTCATATGGCTGACAATCCTGGCGCTCCTTATCAGGATGCTGAGCGTACACTGAGAACGAGCAGTCAACTTATACAGCTGTCCAAAAGAATGCAACAGAATTTCCATTCTGAAGCACGCTGTGCTCCCCATTGCATACTTTTAGGCACATGTCCAAGTAATTTAAGGTGCTTTCACTTTTTATTTTACTTCGCCTCCCAGCTTTTCTCAATGTATTTCAACTCTCTCTACCCGGCAACGTTCATGCTGGAATTTTTATTTAATTTGCTTCTGCTGTCGTGGGGCTTCAGCTTCTCCTGACTGGTTGTTGTCCTCGCAGCTTGCTGCATTGTTTGAAATTAATTTCACTTGTCGTACATTGAACCAGAATCAGCCCAGAAGCAGCCCAGCCCCTGTCCTCCCCCTCCAGCAAGTGCGCCCATGTCAAAAGATGTGTGCGTGCCATTGCCAATGCCGCTTTAGCACTGCATAAGTTTAGGGACATTTGGCGGCGATGGATAAACGGAGGAGCAGCAAAGTTGGCAAGCCAAGCTCTGTTGAGGACGGCTGAGTGTGCAAATGTTGGCTCGGATGCACTCCATTCGGCAATCGGTTGCCAAATCAACGCGCTAATCATGTTGGCAGCAGCCAGCAGGCAGCAGGCAGCAGTGCATTTTCCAGCTAACTGACGGACGGAGTGATGTCAACAGCTCGTCCTTTTTTTCGCCCGCTCTCGGGGCTGCAAGTCCTGGCATCAGAATTTTTTGTGCTTCCATGCAGGCGGCTTCTGGCTCGAACTGCAGGGCCAGCTGACAGCAACAGCTAACTTATGTGGCCGAGAACCAGAGTCAAATGCAGTGCCATCGGCCATCGGCCATGTCCCGGTCCCAGGAACCATCCGCGCCTCTTGCCATTAATCACTGGCAATAATGAACTTCCGCCTTTTCCGGAATGCAGGGCGGCGACTTTTCTCGATCTACGCAAATGCACCGGAAAAGATTCGGACTTTTTGGGGCGCAAAGAATATAGTAGCACTATTCAATCATTAATTTATTTGCTTGGATTATGGTTTACTTTTGGATAAGCGAATTGAAAGTGCTAAGCGAGTAGGCAACTATATTTCGGCAGTATTTATTGACTTCATTCAAAACTAAACTAAACTTGTATTTTGGCAAGTGCATCGTTGTCATTAGCGCAAGTTGCAGAATTTATCGTGTGACTTATGAGAGACACCATGGGCCCCAAGTGGGGCTCAGTCCGGTCCAGACTTCGAACTGACCTCTCAGAGGTTCGCAGGCTTGTTTGTTTTGTATCTCCATTCTTGTGATTTTTATCGCTTCGATTTACGACTCATAAAAATGTTAGAGTGCGGAGCGGACTTTTATCTGTCTGGCCGGGCTGTGCTGGATCTAGTAAGCCATTCAGTCCCAACCCCTCGGCCCTTCGCTGGTGGCCATTTAATGCTCGACTGCTCTTGTGACCGGGCCTGCAGTTAGCAGTTAGATGGTAGATGTTCATATGGGTCCCGGCGCAAAGTTGTTGATTTTTATGGGATTTTGGCGATGCAGAAATTATTCTTAGACTGCCAGCAGCGCAGTTGAACCAAATAAACACTGGGAAAGCCATTATAAGTCGGAATTTGGGTTTGAACTCTGAATGCGCTGCTGCTGGAAAAAATAAATGTGAACAAAGTGCCAAGAACCTAAAGATGCTTTGCTTCAGACGTAACCGTTCACGGGTATCAAATACCATTAATTTGCGCACTAAATTCGTAAATAAAGTGTTTACTGCTTTTGTATCACATTTTGTGAGCTGCTATCCTTGACCAAACCCTTTCAACTTGGCCCCCCATCGCCGATCTCCTTTAAGCACAATCTATTCGCCACTAGAGCGAGTTAGCAGCAATTTTCCTAGCAATCTGAAGTACCGACATCCTGCATTTGACAGTTATTAGATTAACACCTAACGGCCAACGGGATGGAGCTCTTTATGCCCGACACCAGACAGACAACGGATACTCGATTACTCTCCCTGTCGTTCTGGCCAGGCGATGTTGCACGAAATTGGACAAACAATAAAGCGCTCAAAATGTATGCGAACATAAAATCTCGGCCGGGCCGTAGGAGTACTGCCCAGAGTGGGCCGAAACAAAAGGCCAAGCCCTGCTGGCCATGTCCATGTGATGGCGGAATCGGAGCGTTCGGATGGGGGAACTCTGAATACAGAACACAGGGCATACAGGCGATGTCAATTTCAGACAAACAAGCCAACGAAAGTAGATATATGTGAGCGCGTGTGCATATTGATATATGGCCAGGATATTGATATATATGTATATGGCTTATATGACATCCAAGATGGGCCCGGTCACTCCGTCCACGACCGCCGCCTGCCCATTTCGAGCAGCACATAAAAAGTGGGTTTGAGTGCCAGTTGAAAGCTGTCAGTGGCTGTTTAGATTTACGTGCCGCACTGCAGCCATGTCGGCCGAGTGCCACCCGCCCCGCCCACAGCTGCACTTTGTAACAATGCAAAAACAACCAGACAGGATCCCCCGCCCACTGCCCACCGCCCACTGCCCACTGCCCACTGTCCACTGTCATCGCTCTGACTTTTTGTTAATGAAAGTGTCAGCTAGACAAGCGCACCCCAAACCCCGGGCTCTGCCCCCCGATGGTTCACCTCACCTAACAACCCCTTCGAAAGCCACGGCCTTTGTCCATTTTGTGGTCCACAGCCGCCGGTGGGAAATTCCCCCATTTCGGCTCCAATAAATTATGATCCGGCTGATTTGCGCCGTGGCCATTGTGAAAGCTCTAGCTTTCTGCCTGCGGCTACTTTTGTTTCGATTTTGCATTGCATAATTATGTAGCATTTGATGTGCTGCCTACTTTGGGGCTCAAAATCAGATCAGATGCAAATGTCAGTCAACAAATGTTTCTCATTTTACGTGATTAGCGGCAAGCTGCACACCAGTTCGATAAGAACTTGTGCTCCCTGTAAACTTGAGTCAATGTCTCACGAATGTATCTCGACATATGCACGTGCCACTCAATCTTCTCCAGCGATCTCAACTGCGATGCAGTAATGAGATAATCCGTTCTGCTTGCTGGCATCCTATTTTCCCGCGAACTGCTTAGCAATTAGCGGCTAAGTCGGAGGCCCGTCCTTGCGCCCCATAATCCCAAATGCCTCCAACTCAATTTACATGCCAGAAAGCGACAGGAGCTGAGCCCAGGAAAAGCCGGGCGAAGTCAAGGAGTCAGGAGTCGGGAGTCAGGAGGAGATCCCAATCCGGACCGAGGTACCCTCGACATTATTAAAACGGATAAATCGCGACGTGCAACGATGTGTTGGGCGAAAGTGAAAAGCTGTGCGTGGGTAATTAAAAACGGGAGCTGGAAAAGCGG